TCGAGGGAAGCCTCTCCCAGGCTTAAGTACTCTAGGGGTAGCCAACCCCCGTCTGCCACGTGGCAACAGCAGATAGGTCCACACACACGGAGACAAGCCAGATCAACTGCCACTGCCATATAAGGAGTTGTTTACTCCTAAGAGTCCTCGACAGCAGGTGGTGGAAGGCAGAGACCAGTGCCATCTTAAAGGTGCAGCACTATGCGGCTCTCCACAGTTCCCCCTTTTTGTTTTTATACGAAACAGGTGAGAGTAGAGGTCTGATCTCAGAAAGAACAACAGACATTGTACTAACCCTCCCTGAGCATCCCTGCCCAGGCAGTGTCAGACCCATCCAGTGCCGATTTTTGCTGAGGCAGGAACAACATTGCGATCAGTTGGGGGAAAGGATGGCACTAACCCGCATCAATCAGACTTGCTCCCCTTGAGGCTGCGAGCAGCTGACAGCATACCTCAAGTGCAGTGCTTAGCCTCGCAACCTGAACGTGATGACTCAAGGCTTGATGGATGCCAGCCAAGCTTGGGGGAACTGTCCGGCCTCAAAGGCAGTAAAGGCTTGGATAATCATGGCTGCATTCCGTTTTTGTGTAACCCTAACCTTGCAAATAAACCACAGGCAGATAGAGGAGGCTAGCACCATAAGTATCGCCAAGGATCCCAAACCTGCCCACTTGGTCGAGAGGAAGATGTCACGAAGCAGGGGTTCTCTAGATGCCTCTGGCTCCTTCAGTCTCTAACCCTGGTGTCACTGTCACCATCATCCTCTCGAGCCTCAGGAGGGTCTTCATAGCGAACCTTCCGCACCAGGCGCTCTGGCACCCACACTGGATCTTGCTGGTCCTGAGGAAAAACACAAACAGAACCTCGTGCCCATGTCAGCACGGGATCAGGCCCTCGCCAGGAGCCTATTAGGACATCTTTCCATTTTACCATGCCTCTAGAGGGGCCATGAGAATTCTGATGTCTGTCCGCAGCTGAGCGGCCGTGGATATCCAAATTTAAAAAATTTAGGGTAAATAAGGCTAACGATATTCTCTCCTTGGGGGCACGGCCTTGGCCTACTCCCCCTTTTTGTTTTTGTAGGCATTCTTTTAAGGTGCGATGAGCATGTTCCACAATACCCTGGCCTTGAGGGTTATATGGTAAGCCATGGTTTAGGTGTATCTCCATTTGTTCCCAAAAGGAGGTGAATGAATTGGCCGTATAGGCTGGCCCATTGGTGGCAAATATGCACAAAACAATGGGTTGACCCTCTTGCCATCTCTACAGAAAGGCACTTTGTAACCTTTCCTCTACCTTGCATAAGGCCTTTCTTGCCTCTTCTGTTAATTGTCTAGGAGAATCAAGAGCCGAGTCACCATTTAAAATATTATACAACGGTTTAGGTGTCATGCAATGTCTATTTAATGCCTCAACTTGAGCTAGAGTGAACGAGGCCGTAATGCCATACGTCCTAACTGATTCTGCCAAAGATTTTATGGCCTTAAAATCAAGAGGCTCCTCATAGCGATTACCTTGAACATCTTGAAAAACTGGGCAAGCAAGTTGCAACTCCAATCTCACTGCTTGCCACACCTCTGGGCAAAATGAACGTCCTGAGCCTCCAATAGGGGCGCTCGGGGCATTATATGGTGGAGGGGTAGGAGGCACTACCCCTGGTGGCCCGGCAGTTGTCTCTGGGTCTTTGTCTATCTCCCTTTTCTTCTTTCCTTCTTTCAGAGAGTATTTCTCTACCTTTTCAATCAGAGCTTGAAGCTCTTCATCAGTATCTGACCAGTCTGTGTCAGAATCCTCCTTCCCGCTTGACTTAACTGAGCGTTCCTCTTTCAGCATTTCCAGGGCAGTCTGTCCCTCCTCTACTGCCCTGCAGCACCTCTGATCCTCCAAACAGTTCCTGATAAGCTTCCACACAGGTCTGACCCCTGACTTGAGCGTTCCCTGACCCCATGCAAAGTCTAGATCCTTTCCCAGTTTATCCCAACAAGTGATAGTTAAATTACCAGAAACTGCGAACCAAGGAGCAATGGTATCGCACTCATCCAAAAACCTTTCAAGGGTGCTTTTCTTGAGTTTCAAATTTTTAGATAACAGCAGCTCCTGAAGAGCCAAAAAAATTGGGTGCGACTGAGAAGCACCCATACTTTCGATACACTGTGCCTTTCACTTTTGGTCTGCAACAATGTAGACTTTTCTGCTCTCTCTTTGTCTGCAGCAAAGAGTGAAATGGCTACGCTCCGTTCCGCAGACTTTATTGTTCCAACCTGCTCGGAAACTTTCCCTTATTCCACAACTTTCCCTCGTCCCATTTACCTGGGAACTTTGCCTTGTCCCAATAACCTGGGAGCTTTGTCTCGTCCCAATAACCTGGGAGCTTTGTCTCGTCCCAATAACCTGGGAGCTTTGTCTTGTCCCAATAACCTGGGAGCTTTATTGTTCCTACCCGGAAACTTTATTGCCTCTTTTACCGAGGGCCTTCTCTTGTCCCAACTTAACCTGGGAACTTACCGGTGCACCACCCTGACTGCTTGAAGTTCTGAGCTTCGCTGTTTCCCCGTACGGGCCGCCAGTTGTCGAGTCCACCCTCGACCAGCAAGGAAGACGCAACGCACGAGCTCTTCTCCAAGCAGTTTAATCAGGACCCTTGAGCAATCTTCTCACTGATGACCTTCTAACTGACCACCTTCTAACTGACGACCTCGAGGGAAGCCTCTCCCAGGCTTAAGTACTCTAGGGGTAGCCAACCCCCGTCTGCCACGTGGCAACAGCAGATAGGTCCACACACACGGAGACAAGCCAGATCAACTGCCACTGCCATATAAGGAGTTGTTTACTCCTAAGAGTCCTCGCCAGCAGGTGGTGGAAGGCAGAGACCAGTGCCATCTTAAAGGTGCAGCACTATGCGGCTCTCCACAATAAAAGTTTGGGAAATGATTTTTACACACATGGTACAGGGTCGGGGTTGGGGGAACACACACACCACACAGCTTCCTGCAGCAAGGAGTGGATGCCAAGGGGCCAAGGGGCTACAGACAGACCAGGCCACACCGAGCAGGGTACCAAGTGCCTGGCAGAGGAGTTGGATTATAACTCTTATTTTTTGTTTTTGAGACAGCATCTCATGTGGCCATGGCAAGCTTGAAATCCACACACTTATGTAGCTGAGGATGGCCTTAACTTCCTGGTCTCCCAGACCCTTAAGTGCTAGGACACAGCAGTGCACTATGAAAGTGTAGCAGTGAGGTCTGTACAGAACTCTAGGTTCTTGAGTGCAGGAAAGTTTTGTTCTGAATCTTTCAAAGACAGGTTACTGTGACAACAGGATAACACAGGTGGGATTTGGGGGAGGGCTGGGACTCAAGTAGGGCAGACAGGAGGCCAGGATAACTCTCTAGTCTGGAACCCACACTAGCTTCATCTAGAATAATGGCATAAACATGGAATTAGAGAAGAGAGAAAACTCTTGAGAAATATTTCAAAGACAAAAACAGTATGAGGGACAGCCAATTTAGAGTGTGGTGACAGAAAGAAGATTACAGAGTATCCCTTGGTCTGTAGCTTGGGAATCTAGAGGGACCATAAGGTCACCAACAGAAGAGAGGGAGATGGGAAGGAAATTCCTTCTTGGGCATTGTGCCAGAGTTTAAGGATACTGAAGCTAAAGCCATAATTTTAAAATGGAAATGGCTGGAAATGGGAAACAAAGGATCCTGAGATTTCTTGAGATTGGTATCCTGGAGGGACTGCAAGGAAGAGGTCAGTTAGGAACCTGGAGGCTCTGAGGCCTGGGTGGTATTTTCCATGGCTTCCTCCAGCTGAAGATCTTCAGAAGAAAGAAACAGAACAGCTGGCTACCCAGACGGTGTCAAAACAACGAACCCGGTTTGATTTTGGGGGTCATGGTGTAAGATCCTGGAATTAGTGAGTTTGGATAAGGATTTTGGGAATCATGAGGGGAAAAAGTTTCCTCTTTTTCTCCTTTGTCTCTTCCCTTTTAGGGTAAGAATTCCAGTGGGCTCCACATATCTGGTAAGGGATACTGCCAGACTGTCTTTTAGGGTGGAAGAAAAAAAAATCAATGAGAAGGAAAAAGAATTGTTCAAAGGAAGACAGGAAGGCAGACTGAGTGAGAAAAAGATACCCAGTAAGATACCCAGTGTTTCATAGGATAATTATAGGTGAAAACAGCTAAATTTACTTACTGCTAATATTTGAGAGTTTACTATATATAGCACTGTAGCAAATTATTTATGTTCAATATTTCTTTAATCCTTACTTTGAAGGAAAATTAATATTTTTCTTAATCAACAGTATATCACAATATCAAGTGCTGGGATTATAGGCATGTGCGACTACACCTGGCTTAGATTGTGTCATTATGTAAAATACTTTGGGGGATTGATGAGATAGCTCTCAGTGGTTAGCACTTCCTGCTCTTTGAGTAACCCAGGTTTGTGAGGATACCTGTGTGTGCTCATACACACACATACACAATTTTAAAAATCTCTAAAATACTTCAGGCTTATGTATTTGCATTTTAGAACATAGTCAAATAAACAGGCAAGGTGTGACTGGAGTCGCTTTTAATTTTTTGTGTTTTTCTTTCAAGAGGGTCATATGGTATATGCCTCTAATCCTTGCAGTTGGGAGGTGGAGGCAGAAGGACCAGGAATTCAAGGGTATTATGGGCTACACAAGAGTCTATTTCAAAAAATCCAATTAATCAACCAACTAAGCAAGCAAAAGAGCTAAGTGAGACGAAGAACAAACAGGATGAGACTTTGGGGCAAGTTTACAAAAGAGGTGATAAGGGTGGAAAAGTTCCTGGGCTTCATGTATATGATAATGCACATGCCAGATAATCTTTTCCTATTATAGTTTCCAGACTCTTGTTATAATCTTACCTTTCATCATTGAATTAGTATGTATTTGTAAAATAGCAATGCAGTTTTCAATGGAATGAACATATTTGTTTTTTTCTTCTTCTTCTTTTCTTTAAATAGGATTTGTTATCTGAAGAAATGGATACTTCTCCATCCAAAAAATATCCAATTAAAAAACGCGTGAAAATACATCCCAACACAGTCATGGTGAAATATACTTCTCATTATCCCCAACCTGGGGATGATGGGTATGAAGAAATCAATGAAGACTATGGTAGATTTATGGAAGAGAACCCAAAGAAAAGTCTGCTGAGTGAAATGAGAAGAAAAGGAAGAACTTTGTTTGGAACCATGAACACTCAGCCTCTTCGATCAGAAGACCCAAGAGCCAGTAGCATGGGACAGTTCCAGAGCTTTGCAGAAAAAAACATTTTTCAGTCCCGAAAAATGTGGCTAGTGCTGTTTGGGTCTGCTTTGGCGCATGGATGTGTGGCTCTCATCACGAGGCTTGTTTCTGACCGTTCTAAAGTTCCATCCTTAGAACTGATTTTTATCCGGTCTGTCTTGCAGGTGTTATCTGTGATAGTTGTGTGTTATTACCAGGAAGCTCCCTTTGGGCCCAGTGGATACAGATTACGACTTTTCTTTTATGGTGTATGCAATGTTATTTCCATCACCTGTGCTTATACCTCCTTTTCAATAGTTCCTCCGAGTAATGGGACCACGATGTGGAGAGCCACCACCACTGTTTTCAGTGCCATTCTAGCCTTTCTTCTTGTAGATGAGAAGATGGCGTATGTTGACATGGCTACAGTGGTTTGCAGCATCTTAGGTGTTTGTCTTGTCATGATCCCCAACATTGCTGACGAGGACAATTCTGTGTTAAATGCCTGGAAAGAAACCTTTGGGTATACCATGACTGTGATGGCCGGGCTGACCACGGCTCTTTCTATGATAGTGTACAGATCCATCAGGGAGAAGATCAGCATGTGGACTGCACTGTTTACCTTCGGTTGGACTGGAACAATCTGGGGATTATCTACTATGTTTGTCCTTCAAGAACCCATCATTCCTTTAGACGGGGAGACATGGAGCTATCTCATTGCTATATGCATCTGCTCTACTGCTGCATTCCTAGGAGTTTATTATGCCCTAGACAAATTCCACCCAGCGTTGGTTAGCACAGTACAACATCTGGAGATTGTGGTAGCTATGGTCTTACAGCTTCTAGTGTTACACATATTTCCTAGTGTTTATGATGTTTTTGGAGGGGTGATCATTATGATTAGTGTATTTGTCCTTGCTGGCTATAAGCTTTACTGGAGGAATGTAAGGAGGGAAGATTATCAGGAAATACTGGACTCTCCCATTAAATGAATACCTGGCTATTATTATCATCTTGTTAATGTCTAGTTATTAACATGTACACTGCCATTTTAATATTTACCTGTAGATGTCTTTTGTGTTATATTATTGATAGAGTACTATAAAGTATAATTATGCAGATGCAGAAAACTATACCAGACTAATATATTAAAGAATAAATATTAAATAGATGAAATATATCATGAACTTTGTGTCTTTACAATTATTAATAAAAAGTAATTGTGGTAGAAGGGTATCATTCTCCATCACTAAAGACGCAAGACTCAGAGCTCAGATTGAATTTCTGTTGTCATAAATTTCTAAAACTTGAAAAATGTTTTTGTTTTCTTTTTGAGACCAGGTTTCTTTATGTAGTCCTGGCTGTTCTGGAGCTATGTAGACAAGACTGGTTTCCGATTCACAGAGATCTGCCTGCCCAGGTGCTGGCATTAAAGATGTGTGCTTCCATGACTGTCGAAAAGTGTTTATTCTTAATGTTCTACAAATGTGCAACAGACATCCTTCAATATTCAAAATATTCATTTATGAAAAGTATACTACAGGATAAAATGTGGAACACTCAGCTAAAATCCAATTTTCCACTAAAAATCTAAGAGGTCCTAAAAGGTATGAGAAAGGGAGCAAAGAAAAGCTGGATTTCAGTAACGGGGGTCTAGACGTGAGAGTGGGAAACCTGTCTTCCCACAGTGGCTACAGCACTGAACATGGTATAATGGGATCTCACCAGCTGTCATTGTCGATAGCCCATACATGTGCCTGGTGATGGGAGAGCTAATGTTTGGACGAGCCTCTTTATCTCCTTTTACGCAAATCTTTTCCATAGCTGTCTCCGTTTATGTGTCTGTGCTAAGTATTACGTAAAGCAGACATAACCCTTAAAAATAAAGGACACTGACGTGTCTACTGACGGATGAACTTAAAGCAGCTGGTTACAAGCACAAGACCTGTACAAGGTGAAGTCAAGCACGGTTCCAGCATGACAGGCCTCCAGGACCATGCCTTACTGAGTTGGTGTTGGTTGATACCTACTGAGGGATGGAGAAGACATTTTTGTTTGTTTGTTTGCTTTTTTTTTTTTTTTGAGGATATTCCTACTGGTTTGTTTCTGTGTTCCAGGTTTCCTTCTCCCACCATGAACACCACTAATTAGACTTGATTTTTTTTTTTAAAAGAGTCATTTCTAGGACAGCCAGAGCTATACAGAGAAACCCTGTCTTAAACAAAACAAAGCAAAACAAAACCAAAAACCAAACCCAAAAAGAGTCATTAAGTTGAGAGTAGGACATGCTGAAGGGCATATGGGGAGTTAGAGGAGGGAAATGGGGACAGATATGATCATATTTTATTGTAAACATGTATGAAATTCTCAATAAAGAAAAATTATAATTAAAAAATTTAACACTAGCAGTAATTATAATACAGTAGAAAACTGACAGGGTATCCTGAGACTCTCTTCTAGGTCTGTAAAAGCATATTAGGTAGCATTAATTTGAGTCTAATTTGGGCTAATATTCATTCATGCTGATGTGATACTGATTATTAAGGTATTGTCTTAACTTCCTTATACTTTCCTATATGATGCTAAGGCTCAGCCCCGCACATTTCATTTTTCTCATACTAGCCAGTATCTCTCACAGGGTTCTGGCCACAAAGGACATTACAGAAGGGCTGGGCCTGAAAGCACAGGGCTGTAATTCTAGCTACTTGGGAGGCTGAGGCAGGTAGACTACAAAGTTGAGGGTTAGCTTTGGTAACTTAGTCAGACCTGTTTTTAAAAAGGAGAAGGTGTACTGGGGATACAGCTCAACAGCAGAGCACTTACATACTATGCAGTAAGTTGCTCTAGGTTCAACCCCCTGTACTGCAAATAAATAAATAAACACATACATAATACATATATACTTGACAAAGCAAACATGTCAATAAAGGGAGATTAGATGGCAGAGAGGGACTTCCCTCTTGCCACTTGCCTTATCGTCTGTTGCTGTTTGACTCCAGGAATCAGCAGGACTTAGTTTTTTCTCTACATTACTTTTGACATCATTTCACTCTGTAACCCATGCTCACACATCATTCCCTGAGCAGTGGAAAAGCCAGTTGGAGAGCTTCCTCCTGGAGGTCTGAGCCTCCAGTCCTATAGTCCAAACTTGATCTCCCTTTACTAGCCCTAGAGGTGGTAGCTCATCTATGAAGCAATTTCCTTTGAGTTACCTCAGTGCCATCCCTGCCCCCTCCCTGCATTTAATTAATTAATTAATTAATTAATTTTGTGTATCTGTGAGACAGGGTCTCACTATATATCCATGCTGGCTTTGAACTTGGGGTGATCCTTCCTGTGTCTGTCTCCCCAATGACAGGCAAGAGCCATCAAACCTGTCATCAGTTTTTTCAGCCCATTAACATATAATACTAAATCTCCTCCATTGTGATATCTTATGATTTCTGCTTTTCTGAGTAAAATGTTTCTAAATCATCTCCAAACAAATCCAAAGCCATTAATAAGGTAGCCAGCTTTGGGAAATGTCAACACTTAGATTTTCAGGTATTACTGGACATTAGTTATCAATAGACATTATGCAAACTGAGCCAGACATAGAGGTATAAGCCTTTAACCTTAGTGTCTTAGAAACCTGAGGCAGGATGCTCCTAAATTTGAGGCCAGCTTAGGAAATTTAGCAAGATCCTGGGCAGCATACAAGAAGTCTTGGGTCCAACCTGATGTGGATGTGCATTGATATTGCTAGGAACAAGCAAAAGAAACTTATTTTAAGTATAACCATTTCATTTTCAGATTCCATTTAACAATAAGGAGAAACCAAATTCCAGGTCCCAGGCTTTAGGGGAGCTGGGGACTTCCCAATCGCTGAACAGCTTCTGTTGTAAGGAAACAGTTTCATGAGTCAAGGACAGCTTCTCCATCTTCTTGGCAGGGTCAAACAAGTTCATGTTCCTAGGCCAACTCCAACCCTGATTGATGGAAACTCCCTTGCTCAACCCCTTATGTCAAAAATATGATTGGACAATGGTATAGCCTACCCTGTTCCCCCTTGCTCTATGGTTTTATGTAAATGAAATTTAATATAAATGTGGCAGAGAATTAATCTGGCATTTACTTACCTTATGCTAGTCTCAATAACTTCACAGAGAAATCAAGATTTATTTAAAACTGTACCTCATTATCAATAGTTAAATGATCTATCTTAAACTTCTATGGTAATCTGGCTACCTCCCAGCCCCATCCCATGATACTTATCCAGCTTTTAAGAACGCTTCTTCATAGCTCCAATTCCTCCAACCTGCTGCTGATCTGAATTTCCCTCTTTCCCTCTCTCCTTCTCTGGCTTTCAGATATCCTACCCTGTTCTCTATTCTGCCCTGCCATTGGGTGATAAACTTTTTATAGACAAGGCAGAAAACAAAGAACTGTTTACACAAACAAGAGACAGGAGATTCTTCGTATAAGCCTTACAAAGTCCAGACTGAAACAAGATGTAAAGGCAGAGAAGTTAGCATTTGAATAACACAGGGTATAAAAACATTATGCCGCAGGGCAGTGGTGGCGCATGCCTTTAATTCCAGCACTTGGGAGGCAGAGGCAGGCGGATTTCTGAGTTCGAGGCCAGCCTGGTCTACAGAGTGAGTTCCAGGACAGCCAGGGCTACACAGAGAAACCCACAGTGAAAGGAAGGGGCTGGAGACTCGGTGATTAAGACCTTCCAAGGGACCTGAATTTGATTCCCAGCACCCACAGGGTGGTTCAAAACCATCTGTAACTCCAGTTCCAGAGGATCCTATACCCTCTTTTGGCCTCCAGGGGCAGCAGGTACGCACATGATACACAAGTATACATGTACACCAAACACTCGAACGCACAAAAAAATAAAAACGAATTTTAAACGGTGAAAGGAAGATGTATTAATGCCTCGATTATTAACAATGATGTGCTAGGCACGGAGAGGGGTTGGGTGAACACTGAAACAATTCCTCATTTAATAGACTTTGCAATCTAGGTATATGGTGCAGCTACGCTGGAGGAAAAACTCGTGTTTCAATAAAGTTACCTAGCCTTGAGTGTTTCTTTTAGGTGCCACACCTACACTAAACAACAGAGGTGGTTGGGAAATAGTGAGGCAGGTTATGGGTGGCTGCAAGGCTAGTTAGGAAGAAGAAGCGATTTACTAATGCCTTGGCAGGTGGCTGGGGCTGTGCCACTGCCACGCTCAGCCCAAGGGCAAAGGTAACTGTTCTTTTCACGGGACTGGAAGCCGTGAGTGAAGGCTACCCACGTGCCAGGCACTCGGAAGTTCCTCACACAGCTTATTTTGGTTGTGGTTTTCATTAACAAACATCTTACATTTTTCTCCGAGGCTTGATTTTCTTTGTCGCTCCCTGTCCCTAAGATCTGTAGCTGGTCGGCCCTTTCAGAAGCAGGAACCAGAGCAGTTTGGGTTGAAGTCGGGATCACTGTTCGACATTAATGAGCTATTATAATGACAGGTTTTAGTGGCTCTGGGAGAGGCGGAAAGTAACCAGCCACCGAGAAAGCTGGGAGAGAAAAAGGCAGCGAGGCCCATCGCTCCTCACCTTCTCCCGTCCGAAGGCCGCGCAGTCTCAGCTCACAGAACACGCAGCGCGGCGCTTGATTGACAAGCCTCCTCTCCCAATCCCGGAGCGGCGCATTCCGCTGAAGCGTCAGGGGCGGGCGCCGGAGGCGATGGAGCCTATTAGGTTGGGCGTGGAGCGGGTTTCCTGCCCGCAACGGTCCGCCCACCGGTTGCGCGCGCCCCGCCCCTCTCTGAGAGCTACGCGGCGGCGCAGCACAGGCCTCGTGCGGTAACGGCATCCGGGCAGCCGCGGTGGCGTCCGGGTGCAGTCCTCAGGTGACTGGAGCCGCGGGCTCGGCAGAGGGAAGGTGAGACGGCCTCTCCCGCGTGCGGACACGCACAGTCCTTTAGGTCTCCCGGTCCGTCCGCTCTGCCTGCTAGTCTCTGGTCGCTTCCTCTTCCCCGGAGAAGTTAGCCCGGGGGCGCCGTCTGCTGGCGGCGGAGCGGAGGGGAGGGGGCGGGGAGGCCGCTCGGCGGAGCTCGGGTGTCCGCGGTGCAGCCCGGTGACTCCGCGGCCTCTGGCCTGAGCTGCGAGCGCCGCTCGGGGAGGTGGGCAGGCAAGTGTGCAGCACG